CCATGGACGGACGCCCTGAGCAGCCGATGCGCCTTGCTTTCGGGTGGTTAGGTGAAGAGCCCTGCCCTGGGAAAGTCTGATGTCCTGGCCCTGCCCTGACGTCGCTAGCAGCATCTACACATCTAGCAGTATCTACACATCTACTAGTGCGCTATGCAACCATGCACATCCGCCGCTGATGTCGCCTTGATGGGATATCCAACGTTTTCCACGTCCAAATGTGCATCATTTCAGCAGCAGCCGCTCAACTGTGCTGTCCAATCCTCTCCTGACCTGCCAACCTTCGGGCCTCCTAGGCAAGGCTTTTGAGCAGCTTTAGCTTTATCTATAGCTGAACGCCTCTATGACAAACGGCAGCACTAGAGAGCTGAAGCCGTTTTTGACTTGAGCAGGTGAAGCCACTGCAATGTGGCTTCTCCGGCTTCAGCAGCTTTCGTGGGCTTGTGCATTGAAGCCACGTTTTGGCTTCTCTTGCCAAGGCCCTTACTGTTCTTCTGAATGATAACAAGAGGGTTCCAAACCCACGGCATACAACCACAGGATGGCGGTCTTGAGAGGCAACAAAGTTTGCTGAACCTGAAATTATTTCAAATTTCCTGCAGGCAAACAGTATGCTCTATGAAGTTATAGGAGAGAGTCATCGAACAGCGTCTACGAGGAACGACGTAGATATCAACAAACCAATTTAGTTTCATGTCCGGAAGGTCAACCACAGAAACAATCTTCGTAATAAGACAAGTTATGGTGCAGTTTAGAGAGCAGAAGAAGGACCTCCACATGGTTTTCATCGACTTGGAGAAGTCTTATGACAAGATACCAAGAAATATTATGTGGTGGGCTTTGGACAAACATAAAGTCCCATCAAAGTACGTGACCCTCATCAAGGACATGTACAACAATATTGTGACTAGTGTTCGAACAAACGATGGTAACACAGATTACTTCCCGATTAAAATTAGACTTCATCGAGGGTCAGCTTTAAACCCGTATCTATTTGGCTTGGTAATGGATGATGTTACCAGGAACATACAAGGGGATATCTCTTGGTGTATGTTGTTCACTGATGATGTATTGTTAGTGAACAAAAGACAGGCGGGAGTAAATAGGAAACTAAAGTTACGGTGGCACCCTTGAATCTAAATGTTTTAGATTGAGTAGAACTAAAACCAAATACATGAGATGAGATTTTGGCGGAGCTACACAGGAGGAGGGAGATGTGAGTTTGGAAGGTCAAGTAGTGTCTAAGAAGGATACCTTTCGGTATCTGGGATCGATTGCACAGAGGGATGGAGATATTGATGCAGACGTTAGCCATATAATCAAAGCAGGGTAGATCAAGTGACGACAAGCTTCTGGCATTCTCTGTGACAAGAGGGTACCACAAAAACTAAAATGCAAGTTTTATACAACGGCGATTAGACCGGCTTTGTTATATAGAGAAGAATGTTAGCCTACAAAGATTCGACATGTTCAATAACTGAGTGTTGCAGAAATACGTATATTGCGATGGATTTATGGTCACACAAGAATAGACTGAGTTCGGAACAATGATATACGTGATCATCTAGGGGTAGCACCAATTGAAGAAAAGCTTGTCCAACATCGGTTGTGGTGATTTAGCCATATTCAAAGAAGACCTCAAGAGGCATCAATGTATTATGGAGTTCTAAGCCAAACTAATAATATAAGAAGAGATAGAAAAAGACCAAAATTGACATTGAAAGAGACAATAAAAAGAGATTTACCTAGAGATCTATTCAATGCTTATAAAGCAACTATTAAAGTGCCTGAACCGTGACTTGGGGCATACTAGGTTTCAACTTTAGCCTATCCTAACTGGGCTATGTTGTTATTGTTCTTCCTGCACGCAAACAGCAGGCCGCAGTACAAAATAAGAAATTCCAACTCTCAGACAACCAGGCAATTTGAACAGAGTATAAACGCATTGAGAACCACCAAGCGAGACAGGGCAAGTAAATAGCTGTCTGCTGATAACTAATTGGACGAAAGTCAAGGGTTTGCATAGCATCATTCAAATCCGTAACTGGAAACATCAAGTCCTCAATCCACGGGGCACCAAAACTTGCACAGGTAAAATCTTTTATCTCTCAGGCGCTGAGACACAGAACACACAAGTACGATAATCTGACAACGCCTATCACATGAACAGGTTGGGCCTGGACGCCTTGAAGGTGGTCTTGAGCTTCCTGGTGGGTGGCCTCACCTTGCGGTACACGAGCGGGAACTTGATCTTAGAGTTGTGGAACTGCTTGGTGTTGTCCCTCTTGCACAGCTTGAAGTGGACCGTCGCCGTCTTGATAATCTGGATGCAGGGGGACCTCACGCGGTGGCGGGAGGCCATCTCGTTGTACATCTGCTCCACGGCACCGTTCAGGGTGGTGTCACGGTACTCCTTGTACATGTTGTGGTAACCTGTCCTGCTCTGGTAACGCAGCCAGATGCCATAGTTCTTGATAGTGGTTGGGTTGCGCTCAAAGATCTGAGAAACATCAAGCGCATTAAGAAGCAGATATGGATGGGCAAATAAAACATAAGAGAACAAGTGACTTTGGTATTGCAACCACATCCTCATCAAGCTCTGGCTATATCTATCTAGGGCAGGCTAGAAAAAAGACACCAATGAAACCCTCAACAACTAACAAAATTTCTAAATAGCTAAGCACCATTCGACAGATATTACTAAATCAACTTATGGTAAGTTTGCCACCACAAAATGATGCCAGACCACTACATATTACAAATTCTGGTCATCAAGGTTCTTATGCATCGCGAAGTACGGTATGGAACATATGTTTTTCAACAATGGGCACTGCCATAGCTGCAACAGGATTTTGACATGAATTGAAAGTTTGGAGCTCTACACTGAAAAGTGGAACACATGCACTTCCTATGTTTACATTAACAGTACTTGTCAGTTTTGACCCTGATTGATCAAGTAATGGTAAATTTAAAAGTGACAAGCAAATGCAAACTGAGGAAGTGTGATATCACTTCTGCAGAAACAGAAACAGAAACAGAAACAGATATGCTTGTGCTTGTGCATCAAACGTACTCCCTCAATTCTTTAATATGGTAAACGTACTCCCCCAATTCTTTAATATGGTAGTATTCAATACCACAGTTTCATGTAGAGCAGCACCCACTCATTGCTCAATACCACAGTTTCATGTAGAGCAGCACACACGATTGACAAATTCAGAGCCCAGCACATAGCCCGAAATAAAACCTAAGATCTCTCTACGTTGAAACAAGGGTCATCTCTACAATTTAAGGGTTTTGAGCTCTTAATTGAAGAATCACCTAACACATAAATTTCATCTATTGAACTTAACTAATCAATGATGAAGTGAGAGACATTATCACTAATCTGGCCAGGAAGGGCATAAACTTCACGACATAACATCAGCAATGGCAACACACCAACGAAAGCTATCTATGGCATGCTGGCAATACTAAACCATTCGATCCACACCAATTCATAAAGCGTAGCAACGTTCAAGGTAAGAGGCTAAAGGATTGGTTGTACCTCGTTGATGGCGAGCATCTGGCCATTGCTCTTCTTCACCTTCTTGAGCTTCCTCAGGAAGTACCTGCGCGCAGACAAGCGAGACGCCATCGTCAGAAATACGCACCGAATAGGCAATCAGAGAATCCTAGCATCGACCCGAGAGTGTACAGCACTGACCAGAACTTGGACTTGGCGCGAACCTCGTTGGTGGCCCAGAGCTTCATGCGGTAGATCTTGGGGTGCTCATCGGTCGGGGTCGGCAGCGCGCGACCCACCACCTGGTACTGATGGAACTGCCGCGACCGAAACAGATCACAGAAAAGCGGTGGAGATCAGCGACACCGGGAAGAGCAAAGACGCGGCGGATCAAGACAACAGGAGGCGGAGAAGACGGCGGCGGTAGGCTTACCCTGTGGGCGACCATTTCGGCGAGCTCGCGAGGCCGGAGGGGCGGCGGAGGTCTCCTAAAACCTAACAGGGAAGATGGCGGCCGACTAGGGAGTACCCGGAGGCGAAGGAGTATTTATGTGCTGGGGCGAGAAACCCTAACGGGCCGTGTATTGTGGGCCTGAATGCTTGATTAGTTTGTTCGAGTCAAAGTAGTGTACTGGGCCGATAGGATATTGGGCTGTTATCTCGGGCAACAATAAATTGATAGAGGCTTGCTAAAAAAAAATAGTAGAGGCTCATTTGTTGCGTTTTCCTTTTTTCTGATTTTTGTCTTCCTTACTTTTTAGTCTATCTACTTTCTGGGGATTCTTGACCCTTGATGTATTGTATAATATCTGAGGCTGTCCAGTGGGCCAGTCCTGCATCTGACAATTCATTGGAAAACAGAAAATCCGCAATTTACAAAAGGTATCTTATATATGATATGATGCAGTGCTGCTTACAAGAAGCAGATGGTACATTACTACATTTAAAATTTCATTACAAATTACTAGAGTATATGGACATAAGAGCACATGGATGTTGCTCCACACTTTTAATACACACAGATATACAACGCAAGTATACATCCATTGCCTTCTGTGGAGGCAATTCACCACACGTGTGTTCCTTTAGTTACCCCAAGGAGGATGGCAATGGCAGCAACGACGGCCTGTCACATCAAATTCGAAGCAAAATCAGCTTGAGATTCAGGAAAAAAAATGGAGTTAAGATAAAATGATACAGCCAGCAAACAATCACATTCAATTTAGCAGTAATGTACAGTAAATGTAAACTTTCAGCAGATTACAATTTAAAATCAGTAATACTAGGTATGTTTAGTACACTTAATTTTTAGTTTCAGTTGTTACAGCAAAGACTATTAGCTCAATCTCAAATTCCATTGGTGAAATAGGCAGCATGGTTGCATTGTAATAATAGAAATGAACTTACAGCAATTGCGCAAGCAACGTATCCTGGTTTCTCTCGGTGGTCATGTACCCGCACACATATCAGAACGAAAGCTCCAATGTACCAAGGAATGGCCGCAAGGAAAAACCCAGTAATGAACCTTGTTCGAGGAAGAGAAATAAAGTTTGTTAGTAGTTCTGTATAACTTCCGAAAATACAGGGAAATAACACATGTACAGAGGCAGAGACACTCACAGACACCAGCCTAAGCCGAGGCCACAACATGGGACACGCCTCACTCTCACAGGTCTTCCTTCAGCAACAGGACCATAGCCTAAGGGGCCAAAAACCATATCATCATTAATATAGATTTCTATTTTTCATGTTCGGCACACATTTATTGGATATCGCCACACAGTGTAGTTTGTGCAGATTAGCCATGTTCAATTTCTTGTATGCTTTCAGAAACAAGAAGTCACTGGCCCGCCGCAATCACTTTTGGTCAATGGGAGCCACTCAAGAGACTGGGACCGACCGGCCCCCGTTAGCCCCTTTCCCCCCTCCGCCGGTTGCTGCTCCGGCTCCGCTGGCCTCCCTCCTTACCCCTCCCTTCCCTTCCGCCCCTTTTCGCACGTCCCTGTGCCCGTGCGGGCCGGATCTGGGCCTCCGCCAGATCTGTGCCGGGCACTCTCCTCCCGTCGACGGTGGCTGCCCTGGCCGTCGCCGACCGCTTCACTACCACTCCGCCTTCCCCCTTCCTTGTGGCCACCCGCATTCCTCGATCTCTCTTGCTCCGCTATGGAGAACGGCTCTCCTTCCCGCCGCTCCTGGGAAGACGAGGCCGACGATGAGCTCCCTTCCCCACGGTCCTTGGGCGTGGGGTCCCCGGGCCTCTTCCCGGGCGCGGCGGCCTTCGGTGAGAGTCCGTCGCCGTTGGAGCTGGAGTTCGGCCACGGTGACAGGATCTTCTTCAGCGACTCCGAGGACTACTCCGACTCTGAGCCTCCCTCGCCGCCTCCAGAGGGGAAGGGCAAGGCCGTTGCTGCTGCTGTTGGGCGCCGCCGCCGGACGCGCCGCCACCGTCGTCGTTGGCAAGAGCAGGGTTTCTCGGGCTTCATGGCGGCGGCACGGCGCGCGCACCCCACGTTGGAGTCCGTCCCGATTGAGGCTCCACCGCGGTGTCGAGCCTCCCATGTGGGGCACCCCCCTCGAGCGTTTGAGGAGCTGGATGCGGATGGGTTCTACAGGGTGCGGAGTCGTCATCGCTGGCGCCGTCGCTCACCACTGAAGCAAGCGAAGCCAGTTCCCCCTGCCCTTGTCGGCCTTTGCTTCAATTGCTTGGCTGACAACCATGTCAAGGCGGATTGCACTTTCCAGCGAGGTGCTTCAACTGCTGGTGTGTGGGGCACCGCACATTCGCCTGCCCCTGCCTCCTTGGCCCTCGGGGGGCAAACGGGCGCGCTCGCCACCTCGGGAGGGTCACCGCGTGCCCCGCGCCGGCCGGCCGTCGAGCGACGGCGTGCCCGTGTCGTTGCGGCGGATGATGACACCGCTTCCGCGCGGTCTGCCTCCACGGGACGCGCACCGTCGGTTCCTCGTTGCTACGCTCCACCGACTCCACCACCACCGCTGGCTGATGACAGGGGAGGCATCGTGGGCCTAGGGGCGTCAGCTGCTGAAAGGTCTAGTTTAGTTTTGGTGAATTGATGAAATCCTAAGTGCTAACCTAATTTATCAAAGTGATTATGAGATAGGTAGCACTACTCCAAGTGATTAAGCATGTGAAGATCATGGCATGGTGATGATCAAATGCTTGACTTGGAAAAGGAGAAAGAAAAACAAAAGGCTCAAGGCAAATGTGAAATTGATAGGAGCCTTTTGTTTTAGTGATCGAGACACTTATAGAGTGTGATCATATTTAGGATCGATAGCCGTACTATTAAGAGGAGTGAAACTCGTATCGAAATGCGGCTATCAAAGTGTCACTAGATGCTCTAACTCATTGCATATGCATTTAGAATTTAGTGGAGTGCTGACACCCTTGAAAATGTTTGTGAAAATATGCCAACACACATGCACAAAGGTGATACACATTGTGTTTAGCACTTGGGAGCAAGGGTTCGAACCAATATGATCACGTGATGATATAAAGAGAATCATATCATTGTTGATCGTGTTGGTGCATGTGTTGCATTGACATTGGAGGAGATGAAATGGAATGCGTAAGGCAAAGGTATAATCCAGGACATTTTATTTCACCGGTCATAGGTGTGTAGAGAAGTTGATGACCGGGTTTATGATAGATGGCCGTACTATCAAGAGGGGGGCAAACTTATTTGCATATCGGTCATCTAGTGCCACTCGAGTGATCTAACTTTGCATCGTCGCTAGGATCAAGTGGCGTGGCAAGTTGAGCGGCTAATCCTTTGAAAAATGATTGTGAAAATGCTAACACACACACATGATGGTATACACTTGGTGGTGTTGGCACATTTACAAAGGAGATGAAGTTGGAGTTGATGTGGATCAACTCGGCGATGAAACGGAGGCGAGAAGGGTTCAAAACTTCACCGGCGGAGTGTCCGACGGTGCCACCGGCGCCCTGTACAGAAAAGACAGGGTTTCACAGAGTGTACCGGGCGCTGGTCACGCAGTGACCGAACGCTAGGGTCTTGCGTCCGGTCGATCTGACCGGCGCGTCCGGTCGCCTCGTTTTTTAGTGGACTGAGGAGCCAACGGCTCTATTTCGTGGGGGCTTCTATTTAAGCCCCATGGCCGGCTCAAGCTCACTCTCTTAGCCATTTGTATTGAGATAGCAACCTTGTGAGCTTAGCCAAAGCCCTCCCACTCATCTCTATCATTGATTCATCATCTTTATGAGATTAGGAGAGAATCCAAGTCCATCGCTTGAGTGATTGAATCTAGAGGCACTTGGTGTTCGTGTTTCGCTGTCGGGTTCGCTTGTTGCTCTTGGTGGTTGCCACTACCTAGACGGCTTGGTGCAGCGAAGGAGGATTGACGCGAGTTGGTGATTGTTCGTGGCCATCTCCGGTGATTGTGAGGGGACTTGTGCATTTCCTAGCGGAGCGCCGAAAGATAACTCTAGTGGATTGCTCGTGTCATTAAGTTACCTCACTTGTGGGTAGGTTCTTGCGATGTTCAATTGTGTGAACAAGGTTCGTGCAACACCTCTTAGCCGTCGAACCACCAAGTGTTGGTCGACACAACGGGGACGTAGCGTGTTGGCAAGCACGTGAACCTCGGGAGAAAATTGGTTGTCTCTTACCATTTTGTATTCTCCCGGTGATTGAGTTACTATTCATCTTGTGATTGGTTCACTCCTCTACGCGGCGGTATAATCACCTTACTTATTTACATACCCGCAAACTAGTTGTAGTAAGCTATTTAGTGTAGCTAGAATTGAGAGCTTGCTTTGTAGCTTAAGTTCATCAAGTGGAGCTCTTTAGTGTAGCAAGTGTGAGAGCTTTTAGTGAGTAGTGACTTAAGAAATTGTGTCTAGTGATCATAGTAACTAGAATTGTTGGATAAGTGGCTTGCAACCCTTGTAGAGCTAGAGCAAGTTTGCTTTTCGCTATGTCATACTAATCAAATTGCTCTAGTTGGTTTGTAGATTTTTAAATAGGCTATTCAACCCCTCCTCTAGCCATATTAGGACCTTTTAGCTGCTGGATCGGAGGGCCGCCCGTCGCGGCCGCGTTGCAGTGAGTTTGTTGTCATCCCTGGCTCTACGGATCTACAGGCTGCCGAGGACGAGCTAGGCCTGGCCCTTGTCGCTTGCGTTGGTGGTACCAGGCCCTCGGTGTCACCGGCCATAGTCCGCCAGTTTCTGTCTGACTGTTTCAGGATGGGAATTGAGGATGCCAAGGTCCTAGGCCATGACCCTAAGGACTTTGTGGTGCGTTTCCGGCGCCGTGAAGATCGGGACCGGGTACTCCACACTCAGGCGGTGGGTGCGCAGTTCTCCTTGCTCTCGCATCCGTGGAGGAGGACCTCCTTGGCTTCCGGGGGGTCCTTCAGGTACCGTGTGTTGGTAGGGATGACAAGGGTGCCCCTACATGCCCAGACGGCCTCCATAGCGTAGACTATCCTTGGCTCGACCTGTGCGGACGTGGAGGTTGTGCTGCCGAGTGATGTGCCGACAGATGGCGGTCGCGAGTTCTTTGTCACTGCGTGGTGTTTGCACCCTTGTTTTATCACTGATGAGAAGATTATCTTCATTCCTAAGCCGCACGTCCTTGACCCTGTCGTGAAAGCGGAGCTCCCTGGGCTTCGCTACTTGGTGCGAATTCGTCTTGTCGCGTTCCAGGATTGGAACACACCACCAGTGTTTCCACGTGGAGGTGACCATGGTGGTGGGGCCGATAAGGATGACGGCTCCGATGATAGCAACCATAATCGCTATCACCCCGGTCTGGATGGCAACCGGGGCGGCGCATCACGTGGACTGTATCCGGATGTGGATGACTGTGGGGGCAGTGCTGATGATGATGTTGATTCAGGTGACAGCAACTATAACCGTTATCATCCCGGAGTGGACTCCTTGGCTGTGGATGGAGCTGAAGTGTTGGACAGGCCAGCCGATGGTGATCTGTTAGCAGGCTGCCTAGATGTGCTTGTTGGGACCGTGCACTGCCCGATTTGGGAGAGCATGGCTGGTCGCTGCGGGGGCTTCGGAGCTGTGGTTACCGTGGAGTCTGCTTCGCCAGTTGTGGACGATGTCGCGTCCTCGGCATACGTTGTTGGTTCCTCTGAGGAGCCACGGTTGATCGAGCAACCTCTCCGCCCTTCCTCGATGGCTAATGACGCTTTGTGTGATGATGATATATCCCTAATCGGCCGCCACGCGGAGTATATCGGAGAACCTGGCTTCCTTGGGAGGTTCCTTTGTGAGGACCCCTCGCTGCTAGTGGGTTCGTTTGATAGACCTTCTGATCCGGTGGCCGCTTGCACGCCTGAGAGTGCCTGCCTTGGGCCGGCGTGCCAGCTGGTTGGTGGCCTAGAACGTGTGGACTCTGAGGAGCTGAGGGAGGTATTTGATGTTGGCCCTACGGGAGAGGCCCTGACTGAGCATTGTCCGGCACTGGGCCGGGTGGTTGGCCCTGATCCTGTGCCGCTTCATGGTGAGGATGCCCCTAGGTCCGCGCCGCGGACGCCCCTGGCGTCGGGGACGCCGCCCTTGCTGGTGGTGGGGGAGCTGGGGGTCGCTAACACTCGTGTCGCTGGAGGCCCAGGCAGCGGGTGACTTCATAGAGTCTGTGGTGATGGGCGCGCCTGTATGCTCTTCGAGCGATGACGATGGCGGTCAGGCTGCTGCGACGGAAGCGTCTCATGCCACGATTCAGGATTGTCTTGAGGATCGCCTCTGCCTCCCGTTGCGGACGCCACTTGTCCGCGGACCGCCCAGGCTGCGTAGACCGCGGACACCAGCACATGTTCAGTCGTTGCGGCGAAGCGAGCGCATTGCTGCCACGCCACGTGAAGCTGACTCCACCAAACAAGCTCAGCTGGTTCTGATGCAGAAGCTGGGAATGGCGGCACCCTCGCCCGCTGTCGACTCAGAGACGGTGCGCAAGTACAAGACCACCTTTAGAGAACCGCTATCGGAGTCCAACCAAGAGGCGCTGCAGCTTCTCTTCGGTGGGCAATTTGATCCAGTGGCCATGAACTTGAACATGCTCGGGTTGGACGAGGAGGCAATTTAGCCCCGACGTCACCCTCACCATTGTCACTATTTCGTTTCCAATGTCATCGAACTCAAGCTGCTTCGTATGGAATGTGCGGGGGCTCAACGGCCACGCACGTCGTAATGTTGTGAGAGAGTTCTTGGTCCAGCAGCGGGCCACTGTCGTGTGTTTGCTGGAGACGAAGCTCTCCACGTTATGTACTGCTATGGCTAATGAAACTTTAGGTACCATGTTTGACTATGACTATGTCCCGTCCATCAATGTTTCTGGGGGTATCCTGCTTGGGTGGCATAGAGACCACTGGACTGCTTCTGGAGTGGTGAAGGGGCGCTACTCCTTGTCGGCGAAGCTAACTCCAGTAGGGTCACTGGTCCCTTGGTGGATCACGGTGGTTTATGGGCCACAGCACGATGATGAGAAAGCTGAGTTCCTGAATGAGCTCCTACAATTCAGAGAGGCAAATCATGGACCTTGGCTCCTCTGTGGCGGGATTTACCAAGCCGAAGCCAAGAACAATGATCGGCTCGATCGTCGCAACATGAGAAGATTTCGGGCGTTCATCAACACGGCACACTTGCAGGAGATTGCCCTGGTTGGGAGGCGCTTCACTTGGTCCAGCGAGCGTGAACGCCCGACTCTTGAAAGGTTGGATCGCTTCCTGGCATCGGTGGACTGGTTTGTGGCCTTCCTGTACCACTGTCTCAAGCCTCTGTCTACAGACTGCTCGGACCATTGTCCGTTGCTGCCGTAGCTCGACACATCTCATGGGGCCATGCAGAGGTTCAGGTTTGAGTCTTTCTGGACCAAGCTGTCGGGTTTCTTAGATGTCGTGGCCCTTGCTTGGTCGCGGTCGTTGATCAACGCCGACCCTTTCCGCTTGCTTGATTTCAAGCTACGGAATGTGGCCCGTGCTTTGCAGAGCTGGAGTGCCACCAAGATTGGTAGTGTCAGGTTCCAGCTCGCGCTGGCACGTGAGGTCGTGCTCCGCTTTGATGAGGCGCAAGACTACAGAACACTGACTGTGCAAGAGGCGGAGCTGCGGAGGTCGCTGAAGCTGAGAATTCTTGGCTTGGCTTCGCTGGCTAGAACTATTGCCAGGCAAAGATCACGACTTCTCTTCTTAGCCGAAGGAGACGCCAATACAAAATTCTTCCACCTGCAAGCATGCCACCGGAAGCGGAAAAGCCGGATCGACTCCCTCATGGTACATGGAAGTGAGGTGGACAGAGATGACCTGATGGCACAGGCCCTGTATGAGCATTACAATTCCATCTTGGGTTCCAGTTTCGAACGATCGAGGAGAATCAACTTAAGCGCCATCGGGTTGCCGTCGCTGGAGCTCAGTGGTTTGGAAGATCTCTTCACTGAGGACGAGGTGCGTTCTGTGGTCTTGGACCTACCGAACGACAAGGCGTCGGGGCCAGACGAATTTACTGGTCTGTTCTACAAAAAGGCGTGGGACATAATCAAAGTTGACATCATGAACGCGTTCAATGCGTTTTGGTCCCAAGATGCAAGAAGCCTGAGTCATCTCAACGATGCTTACATGATTTTGCTAAAAAAGAAGTCGCAGCCGGCGGAGATTCGTGACTACCGCCCGATCAGCCTGATCCATAGTTTCAGCAAGTTGGTAACTAAGTGCCTGGCAAACCGGCTTGCTGCAGTGCTTGATGGGCTCGTTCGTCGCAACCAGAGTGCATTCATCAAGGGTCGGTGCATTCAGGACAACTTCAGAGCAATGCGCCTTTCATGCAAAGCGCTGCACGCCAGGCGGGTACCGAGTGTGCTGCTCAAGATCGACATCGCGAAGGCGTTCGACTCCGTGTCTTGGACATTCTTGCTTTAAGTGCTACAACATATGGGGTTCGGCAGACGTTGGAGAAACTGGATCTCCGCCATCCTTTGCACGGCAAGCACAAAAATTTTACTAAATGGCCAGGGTGGTAGGAGGATTTGCCATGATAGGGGACTGCGCCAGGGCGATCCTCTTTCCCCGATGCTTTTTGTGCTGATCATGGAGGTCATCAACCATACCGTTCGCTGGATTGATGGTGAGGGCTTTCTTACACAGCTTGGCACGGCTAGGGTTGTGCAGCGTGTCAGCTTGTATGCCGATGACCTGGTCCTCTTCATGGCTCCCAATGAACATGATCTATTGGTGCTGAGATCGACCCTCCAGATATTCGGCTTGGCGTCTGGTCTTTTTGCAAATCTGGACAAGAGCGTAGCAACGCCGATGCACTGCAGCGAGGACGACATTGCAAGGGTACAGCATATCCTCTCCTGCCGAATTGAAGGATTCCCCAGTCGGTACCTGGGCATCCCATTGTCCATCTTCAAGATGAAGAAAGGCGAGGAGCAGGCGCTCATTGACGCCGTTGCTGCTCGTATACCTCAGTGGAAGGGCAATTTGCTAAATCTTGCAGGAAGAACAATGCTTGTCAGAAGCACTCTGTCGGCCATTCCAGTCCACACGTCGATTGCACTATGCTTGTCCTCGTGGGCGATTGACTGCATTGACAAACTCTGCAGGGCATTCATTTGGTGTGGTGCCGCCTCGGTTCCTGGAGGGAGATGCAAGGTTGCCTGGGAGATTGTCTGCAGACCGCGCGATCTTGGTGGACTGGGAGTGGCTGATCTCCGACGGAAGGGAGTTGCGCTTCGGGTTCGGTGGCCTTAGCTTTGCCGGGTCGATCAAGAACGAACCTGGCGAGCATTGCCAGACACTGATGAGCGGGCGGTGGTAGCCATTTTCAGGGCGGCCACTGTCTCGGCTCTAGGCAATGGAGAGTCGACGCTCTTCTGGACTGACAATTGGCTCCAGGGAACGAGTGTGCGTGGCCTGGCGCCGGCTGTGTTCGCAGCAGTTCCAAAGAGAAAAAGGTGTGTGACCGCTTGGCGCACGGCAACTTTGGAAAACCGGCGCGCCGCCGCGTATCAAATTCTTCTTCTGGCTTGTTATGCATGGAAGATGCTAGACGGCACATAGGAGATGGCGTCATGGACTTCAAGAAAGTAACACTTGCATCATCTGTGACCAAGCGGTGGAAACAATGGATCACATCATCCTTGGCTGCGTCTTCAGCAGGGAAGTGTGGGCATCATGTCTGAGAAGATTTCGTTTACAGGATCGTGTGCTTGTTCGGGAAAGCGATGTCATGCTGTGGTGGACGGACTCTAGGAAGTGCCTGCCCAAACCAATTCGTCACGGTTTCGATTCCTTGTTCTTCCTTGTCGGTTGGACGTTGTGGAAGGAAAGGAATGCGAGAACCTTCAATGGGACGCCAAAGTTGGTGGCGCAGGTGCTCCAAATCATTGAAGATGAGATTATCATGTGGACTGCGGCGGGATACCAGCACTTGGGTGCGCTGAACTCGCTTTGTCGGGCGGATTGAGGTTGTTCGTCGTCTTAGTTGCGAATTATGTGTACTGTGTAATTACAACCACGTGCGAGTCTGGTGAGGGGATGGCTAACGGTAATCTTTGGATTACTGTGTCGGTGCGTCGCCTGTAACAAAACTCTATTCCTCTGCTTAATGAAATACGTGCCTAAGCATGTTCTCGAAAAAAAAACTTTTGGTCAATGGATTCAATTATCTCAGAACTACAGAATTGTATATCATTGCTTCCATCAGAAAAAATCTCCAATTATATAGCTAGTGTTCACAACAATGGTAGCTCAACAGTGGTTAAATTTAGCACAGCTAGTTTGAAGATTAAAATCAACTAATCCAGTTTTCATTATCATAACTTGCAGTCTACCCAAGAACAAGTGCTAAGGTTCTGAATCGGTTCACCGGATCGGCAATCATCAGCGAACGCATCACAATCGCTTTTGGTCTGTGGATCCAATCATCTTAGAATAGATGAATTATATGCCTTTTCTAGTTTGCTTCTATCAAAAATATCTCCAATGTCCCTACCACCTCAATTAATGTTATAGTAGTGGTCACAGCTGTGGTAGCTCAGCAACAGCTAAATGAAGCGAGCAAGTTTGGAGATTGAAACCGATTACTCCATTTTCCTTATCATGGATTGCAGTCTACCAAAGAACAAGTGCTAAGTTTCTGAATCGGTTTATCAGATTGGCAGTTATAACCTGTGAATTTGCCAGTTTGCCTCACGTGGAATCTAGATCATGAACCAACATAAATCAATCAAACAATTCCACCATGAAAGCCTCGTAAATACTTCGAATCGCACTCGCACCCCCAGCTGCATCTTTTCCCCACCACACAGCTAAGCTAAGCAGCGCGAGCAAACAATCTCAGCGACCGAGAAGACCCCCACCATACCTGGCACGGCCTGGTACCCCTGGGCGTAGTACGGCTCCGCGGGCGCGTAGGGCTGCTGCTGGTGATAGCCGCCGCCGCCGCCGCCGAACCCGGGAGGCGGGGCAGGCTGCGGGAACCCGACGGGAGGTTGCCGAGGGCCCTGGAACGTGCCGTACCCGTACTCCTGCGGCGGCTGGCCCTTCAGGTGCGGCGGCTCCGACGGCGGGAGGCCGGAGGAAGAGTAGCCCCCGGCCTTTCCGCCGTCCGCCTCCGCCTCGTGCCTCCCTCCCATGGGCGATGGGTCGACCGTTGACGAACGCGACGGGCTGTGGTGCGCGTGTCGTCGCAGCAGGAGACGCGCGGTGGGATCTGGAAGGACACCGATGACTATGAGTGACTGTGAGTGATGACTAGGCGACGCCGACTCGCCGAGAGAAGTAGTTGGTAGTTGGGGTGGGCTGGGCTGGGCTCGGCTGGCCCCTCTATTTGGATCAGATGGTGGGCCAGCTAGTGTGCGTTGGGTCTGTAGGACGAAACGGAGTCCCAGTAGCAATGGACATCAGGACATGGCAGGTAGAGCCCATGTAGTACTGGTTTCGTGATCATGGGCCGAATCGAGCCCATGTACCTCGGCCAAGTGTCAAGCATTTGAGCAATCGGAAACGCTCTAACACGCCTTTTTGTGCCACCCGCGCCGCACCCATCTCTGCGTTGTCTTTGAGCACATCGTTGACCACGTGCCACCTACCCGCCCTCTGCACGCACCGCCGCTGCCCAGCTTTGTGTTGCCAGTGAGCACCACGCTGCCGCCGAGCACACCGATGACCTCTATGCGCCTCTGTTCGTCGAAGCAGCAAGGAGATGTTTGCACTGAAAAGCATGTTGCAAACATATTTTTTAAGTGTTTTAGTGTTAAAGAGGTATGTTGCAAGTGTTTTATAACGATATTGCAAGAGTAGATCAAGATGTTGCACATGTTGCAATGGCTATACACATATGTTTCCAGTATATGTTACAATTGTTTCATCTGTATCAGACGTATGTTGCAAATGTTTTCATCTGGATGTTGCAAAAATAGATCTGAATGTTACATATACATGCATGTTGCAAGCGTATGTTTCAAGTTTTCAGGTGTTTCATACATTTGTTGCAAGTGTTTAATCTCGATGTTGCATACGGTTGCAATCGCTTTCAAGTGTTTTCTAAGTGTTTTGCAAGTGCTTCAAACGTATGTTGCAAGCGTTTCAACTAATTTTGGACGTACATTGCAAGTGTTTCACCTGAGTGTTGCAAAAGTAGATATGGTGTTACACATGTTGTAATAGGACCCGCCCGTCGTAGCCACCTGTTGCAGCTGTTGGGTGACGTCCGTACGACGTGGGCCCGCTACTAGGGCGTCGCCGAGCAGGTGCAAAAAAACGAGCGCAGGCATGGGGGCCCACACGTTGGGGCACACGAGAAAATAGACGATGTGGGCTCCTCTCGCGCGCTGGCACCATAAGACTGTAACACTTTGTTGCAGGTGAAGCTACAAAGAGTTAGCATTGTAACTTTTCCTCCACTTTGAGGTGTGTGTTCATTTGCAACACAATAGTCTACATTTATGTTGTATTTTTTTTCTCAAGAACATGCAGGTGAGCTGCATGTATTTGTACTAAGAATATTGAAAACATTGCGGTTGTATATTTAGATTTCAAAGGAAGTTGTGTTCTATGTTCTGCTTTTGGTCTATTAAATTCAATTGCTAAACATTATTCTACTTTTGTGTTACATTAAGAGGAGGACAATAGACATATTTCTAAGAACTAATCGTTAATATCATCAGGTGCATGGTTGAGATTTTCATGTGTGTTTTCTCCTTATATGTTCTATATTATGGATTTAGAGCGTTGCGTGCATGATTAGTTGTTAATATTTAGTTGTATATGCTGTGCAATCCATTTATTTTTAGCAGCTTTCTGCTTAGCAGTTGTAAACCATTACATATATGAACTTAAAAAGTAATAACAAGAATAAATTGACCAACAACAAATACTATACCCACAAGTTCTCCGACGAGAGAGCCCAAGTCGACGCGGCAACGCCACGCCATGTTTTCTAGTCGTAATAGGAGGACATGGTAACTAGATGCAAATTTAGGTCTACTTTAAACCATATTTTTAATGGTATAGGTGTATAGAGTCATTAATTACTTTATTTTGTTTTTACATAATAGCATAAGTGTTGATATATTTAATGCACACAGATAAATCTGCAAGCGCACGGATACCACTGCAGTTTTTATTCGGAAGTATTCCAAATATCGTATCCACAGGGAAACGTGTGAGACTAACTACGGTATAACTTAACAAGGGGTAGCGACTAGATTAAGGTTTAACTTAACTAGGAGTAGCAATAAGGCTAAGGATAAATAGGAGCATAGAGAGGATAACTTATGTTCTCTAATTCTAATTTGGGTAAGCTATGCCTTCTACTGTTCAACTGAGGACATTACTAGGAAAAGACACCAGCAGAGGATGCTTTCCTTCATAACCGGATCCTACTTAGCCTACAAACGGAAGGTAGACTACAAAGGGTCAATGATGCTATATAGTACTGATGTCATAACCGTGATCTACCACCGATCCGGAATGCAGGGTGCATCCATGATTAACCTAAGTCTAAGCACCACGCTTACACTCATGATTAATACTCTACTCCCCCTAGGAAGAGAATAAAGCACTTAAAAGATAGTCGTGATCTTGATGAACAATATAAACAAAATCTTACTTGAATCAGAAGTTGATTACCAAAGAAATATCAGAAGCAAGCTCAAGTAGAACTTGATTCCGCCAAGGTACAAGCCGTAGAGAGAGTACCGACAAGCCGGCATCTCCTCCAAACTCTTCCCTCACTCTTTATCTCACTATTTCTAATTATAAGACTAAATCCTATAAAGCATTAATCTTCTCTTGATAGCTGGCTCTGATCCTGACGAGGAGAACATGAATTAGGGTTTCAGGATGGCTCCTTGGAGGGTGGCAGGGGCTGGTATATATAGGTCGAAGCGTCCAATGTGAGCTCTTGGATCAAACTGACTTAAAAGACGACGTAGATTGGACCTCAATAGCGGTGGAGAACCGACATTCAAAACAGAGACTGACAAGTGGGCCCCATGGGCCGACCGGCCCCACATGTCAGCCCCTCGGGGTCTGCTTTGGTGGGTTGCCTTCTGGAGTGTTCTAGAGTCTTCCCGCGTCGGTTTCGTTGCGGATAAACGTGATTTACTTTGACGAATAGGTCATCCTTGACAGTTTTCTAGATAAACCCTTCTGAAAACACAGATTCACCAAAACTCGTGAAATTTATTAGTTTAAACCCCTATACATATGTTTGGTGATGGAATTAAGTATAAATTCAGGTTATGTTGACGATTTATAATTGATGTTAGTGACCGTCAACAATAAGTGCTTAACTATTTAAAAAATAGAATAGATTCTATAACTTTATTATTAGGTTATAGCCAGAACCAAGTTTTGCACACTTAAAAAAATGAAAAATCAAACGCAAATAGAAAGTCTGAACCATTGCAGGCATTGGACATAGTGCCTCCCCACGATCCTACCCCAAACTTAACTGGTTCCCATGCGCACATACGTGTTGTTTAGTTGATTGGATTAATTGGCTGAGTGGTTTATTGGTCAAGCTGAAAGTAGCCTAATCACGGTTGTTATTTCAACTTTCAAGTATACACAGTCTGAACCATTGCAGGCATTGGACATAGTGCCTCCCCCACGATCCTACCCCAAACTTAATTGGTTCCCATGTGCACATACATGTTGTTTAGTTGATTGGATTAATTGGCTGAGTGGTTTATTGGTCAAGCTGAAAGTAGCCTAATCACGGTTGTTATTTCAACTTTCAAGTATACACGTGTTTGATCCTCACTTAGATCGATTTACCCATAAGTTTCATACTTGGAGTACTGCAGCTCATGTTAAGAAGAGACTTCAGGGTGTTATTTCTCTTAGTTCAAATTGCTGACTATTGTATGCAATTTTGGATTTGAACCACTAATGGGACCTATTATTCTATTCTCAAAAGTCATAACCAGTTCTTTCAAAAATCAAGCTATAAACATTGTTCGATTGACAATATACTCCATGGTTGATTCTCCAAACAAGGTTACATTTAGTACGCATATGTATTAATGGTACCTGATTTTTTAGTTGCCAGGCATTTAGATGTATGAAGATAACTTTCCTTTTTTGCTATTTCATCACTACTCCATGATCTTTGTTGTATTTCTATCTGGTTTTATTATTTGACCACATGTTAAATTGTAGCAAAGCTAATTTAATTTTTCTCAGAAAGAATCATTTGCTACCATATCGTTCTAGGGCTCTCTATTCTTTGAACATTGTTGTTGATCAGTGCATCCATGGTTCAGAAGCATGGGTGACTCAAAAAATGAACGCCACATTATCCTTCATTCGGTAGACATTTCATTTTGTCACCGAACTATGCTAAACCACTTTTCTGCGCCCTTCAGGCGTGAATTACTCTTCCAAATAAGATAATACGGTTGACTTCTTTCATCTGGTGACAGCAAAATCGACCACCGACTCACCTACGGTACAATGTAGTAGTAGTAGGCCCTACTAGGTTGATAAGCACGCTTTGTTGCAGCTGTTTTCACGATATGTTATTTGCGGGTTGTGTGAGTAATTAAGGATTAGAGTAGGTTGAATAGTAGTCTCATGAGATATGTACGGGGCTCGTTTGAATCATATTTTATTATTTCTGTTTGGGATAAAAGAAGTACCGGCGTCCAAGATTTTCGAAGGGACAGGAGAAACCCAGAGGTGAGATCCGCAGAAACCGTCTATCTTTCCGACCCCAAATAACTTGGGATATTTCACCGTTCCCTCCCCTCAGACAAGTTTACCCTTATCCTTTCACCTCCGCTCATCTCCATCCCCTCGCGACCTACCGCACCCATCGCCATAAACCTCCCACTCCCAAGCACCGACCACCCACACGTGATACTGCTGCCACCCCCACGCGGCGCTCCTGCACGCAACCTGACCACCCTTCCTAGGAGATGGACTTTTTTGGCCATCATGTTTCGGAAGATGACGACGACGCACCAGATCCGGTCAGAGGACCAAACTTCTTTGCCGAGGACGACACTTCCCCAATTCAGGACAATGCATCCTAGATTACAGAGTCCCGTCATTAAAACTCGTCCAACATACTGGACGTCATGAATATTGAACTCAAAATGTATTGGTTATACGTGACTTCGACATG